GTTGCAATGTATCCACCGTCAGCAGAATAAATAGGCATTGAATTTGGGTAAGGTGTCGGAATAATATTGAGATGGTGGTATCGTGATGCTATTTCTCTGAGTTCTCTATCACAACATTCATTATAGAGGACATTAAAGGCTATTGAGCTAACATGGTCTTTTGCATCATTCTTGTGCCAGCAAGCTATCTCTGGACTAAAGACTCTACCAGCTATTGTGCAGTCGAAAAGATAATTGCCTCTACCATCATCTCTCATAGAATAAACAGGTTGACCTAATTTATGCATTTGGCAAAATTCTAGCAACATAACGCAAGATCGTTTAGGTTGCCCATTATTTGCAAGTTCCATTTGCTTTCTGTACCATTGAAGCGACTTCGGAACGAGTTCTAAAGGATGTGGTGCTATTTGTTGTGAATTTTGTCGAGACTGAACCACCATAGCTCCATTTCCAGATTGATTTTTTCCACCGAATTTAGCTTTTTGAGATGCAGCAACGTGAGCCCGAATTAATTCATGACGAATCAAAGCTGTAATCTCGGACATTCTGAGAGAAAGATCTCTCATCGCAATGCTTGCAACTTCCTCTTTAGCTTGTTGCTTTTTTGGCCTTGCGGTCTGATTTTGATAAGTCTGTCCACAAAAATGAACTTGACAATAAAATTGTCCAGTTGTTGGGTCGTGAGAGAAAGAGTATACAGGGGGTGCAGTGGTTTTCAATTTTTGATGCATAGTATTTAAAAAAGAAATTGGGTTTATAAAAGGAGATTCGTCAATTTCTTCGGTTGGATCGTCATGATTTTGATAAAGTCTTAATTGTTGATTTTGTCCTGAAGCTGTTGCCTGAGACAATTTCCCTTCCTCTTGATGAGGGTAGAAATCCGTAGGTTTAGATTTATTAGTTGACGAGTCGTCTTTTCCATTGACTTGTTTTCCTTTGGAGAAAGCATCACCACTTTCCTGGGCAGAGGAAAACACTGGTTGAGTCCCCGAATTATTTATAGAGCTTTCTAACGAGGACGAGGACATTATGTCCGTGAGACTCCGTTAATAGTAAATAATAATGATAAAAAAAAAAAAAAAAAGTAATCCCTTTTTCTTGGGTCAAAACAAGTTATTAAAGGATATTTTGAGGCGGCAAAATCAAGCTCTTTGCTAAACCTGTAGTGCATTCACCATAACTCTACCATATATCACTCGAACCATTGTAGGATCGTGGCAGTTACACAATTGGATACAAGCCAATCACGAGTTAGAATTTATAACTAGACTGATCATCACGACAACGGCGAATACATGTATTCATAAATTTATAATGTACATGACAAATAGTGATAGCACAAATTTAACGGATGTAAAATGAACATTCTGTGATGTTTAAGTCTGATTATAAATATTTGTTCTTTTTTTTTTTTTTTTACATAACATATATATATATCAATTGATCATTCTAATATGAAACATGAAATTAATGAATTTGTTACTTTCTTACCACGGCATAAAGGTAAGAGAATTTCGCAGATATACATAATCTTTCACATTATTGCATTTTCATTCGAAGGTCCAGAGGTAATGCTGCGGATTCTGATTTCATAGTTTAATCAAATATCTACTTCCTCTTCCGTATCTTTTTCATCTCGATCTCGGATAGGTAATCTGATTCTTCTTACCTCTCTATTGTCTTTTGCTTCTTTAACTTCTTGAGGATATATATAATTAGTAGGTCTTTGTTGTTTTCTCTTTTTCTTTAGGTTAGGTCCTATTTGTTTATTGTAGCCGGACTTAAGATCATCTGAACTTGATGATGAGTCATCGACCAACCCAACGGCCTGATCCCAAATCAAATATAAATTTTAACGAATCTTACAAAATACTGATACGACATATGTTGAATTACATTATACCTTCTCAGAAGTCGCACTGCCAAATTTGATTGGAAAAAAGAATTCAATATCAAATGATTCTTTTTTTTAATAATGATAATAATAATAATAATAATAATAATCGCAAGAATAGGGTCAATTGATTCAGAAACACGCGACTTTATTAATCAAAATTTAAATATTAACCTTGATAGAGAAAATAATCGTTCTTCACGTGTAATTTCGGATCGTTTCTTTTTATCGTTTGTTGCTCTCAAATAACCGTCAAACCCACGAATTAGGTTTCCTCCTGAATGAGTTTCTTCTAAGTAAGATCCTTCAAAATTCCAAATATGTTTCTCGATTGTTTTCTGTATTTTGTATTGTTCAAATCAAGATTTGATTGTTAAAATTACATATACGGTAAAAAGTTGGTTCTCTACCAAATATGAGATCAAACTCACTAGACTTTTGTCCACTTGTTTCTTGCGACCCAATAAATCTCTGAGTTCCGCTTCTGCTTCTTCAAGTTTTTGTCTAGTGACATTTGATGACTATAAACAGAAAGTACATATTAGATAAAGATAGAAGAGGAGAAGCAGATCGAACTATAACTAACAATATTTACTACAGGGAGTTCCTCTTTTTTGATGTTCGACATAGAAGTCTACGAGTAAATGTTCCAGAACTTATTATCTTCTCTTTAATACATAATAAGGTTGATCATCAATTTACCAATCACATGAAAAATAAATATAACCATAAAATTTTATTTTTATCACAATGTCACTTCAAAGATTACGATATCGACCCCGACGTCCTTTTTGGCAGCTTCCTCAACATCGATTGCCAGTTTTATCCCTTTACAAAACGTTGCTCAGATTATCCAAAACATTTCCTAATGATATTCACAAGAAATACTTATACTTTGCTATTCGTGAAAAGTTTAGATCTAGACGCTATGAAACCTCAGTGATGTCAACTATCAAGCATTTAAAAGAAGCACAAGAAGTATGCTCGTGACTTGGAACAACCTTTAGTGTTTTAACAGATTATCCAATTTTTTGGAATTCGCATTTTTAGTGTCGGCTCACTTTACAAAAAGCATTGCAAGGTGATAAAGAATCTTTTAAACATATTGATGACCTAGCATGGGGTAGGAAAGGTAGGCTCAAAAAAGTGTTGGAAGTAGTAAGTTTTAATATTCTTAATGCCTATAATTCATTATATATCGGTTAAATATATGTATTTATGTTTCTGAAAAACGGTTCATTTACAGATTAAAAAGAAAAAATGGAAAAAACGGGTAAAAAAAAAATAAAATAAATAAATAATTTTTTACCATTTTTCTATTAAACCTTTTTGCTAATATAATTCATAGCAAAAAATTCATAAACTAGTTTATGATACTCGAACCGTTCAATCACGCATGATTGATCCGCATCGTGCGTACAGAGTTCCTCTAGATCCACGTTTATATAAGCCACCAAGAGTACGTTTCTTTCGAAGAAAAAGATGGCTAAAAAAAAAGCATAAATGGCGAGAAGGACTCGTAAAGTATACAATAGTCACACAGTTAGGATATAGACTTCAGAGAATAAGAGGATGGCGTCAACCTACTTGGATTTCTATGATGATGAATAAACGCATAAGACAACATCAGAAACGAATTGACAGATTTCGAGAATTAGAATCTTATCTCGAGATGGTTAAGGGAGAAGAAGTAATGTTGAAGACTTTGAATCCTAAGCTAAACAGAGAAATGGAAGGATTCGGTGAGATATTTACAATATATTTCACTTATTATAGTTTTTTTTTATTCATTTTCCTTTCCGTTAGATAAACTTATTATACAAGAGATGATTGATAGCAGAAAATTCTATGAGAACATGATGAAACGCGAGAAAAAAGCCAAATTGGATGACAACATTTGATCAAAAAATTATTAATTATCGTGTCACGGCACACCTTGTGCCCAATTAAAAATTTTTTATTTAATGAGAACTAGAATGATTTCGAAAACGCTTTATTGGCTTTCAGACAGTTTAATATGTGTGCTTCTTGTATAGTAATGTCACGCCGCAACTCTCTTATCTCAATTTCTAAGATTGTTATTATCTATGAAACATGGTAACAATCATTAAAACAGTCAATGATTATATTAAACGTAATTTTTAAAACTACGCGTAAATTCGTTGAAAAATTCTCCATTTTTAGACATTAATAATTTGAATATGCGATAATGATAAATATATATATGTATATAAAATAACACATTTTTATGAAGAAATTCAAACCTCACTCTAGACATATAATACAACAGCTTTTGCTTTTTAGTATACAGAAACAATATACAGTAGCATTCAATGATACTTGTTTATAAATAATATTTTATTTAATTAATGCTATTTTAAACTTTTGGGAAAATATATCAAGCTATGAATATTAATTTATTGTGCTATACTGTGTATAAATTAATTGGTTTTACTAAATTATGCAATGGTGTTCAACATCTTAGTTATTGTAAATACTTACAGTATAATGATTAAAATTCTGCTTATAAAATTATTTTTGGAGTTTAAAACAAAAGGTTTCTTGCAAAAATTTTAATATACAGTATTTATATACTGTATACAGTACTGTATATAAACTGCTATACATATTGTATATTTCCTTACCCAAAATCTAATTTAACCTAGTCTCAATTTAATTTACTATAATTTTTTGTTTTTATAAATCTACAAATTTTTTTTTTTTTATAATTTCGGCAGTCTTGCCTCTACTTTATTAGGCTTTATAATATTATACTATAAAATATTAAAATTTTTCAAGAGGCTATTTCTCTTGACACCTAAATTACAAGTACCGTATGCTACTGACTACAGTACCTCGGGTACTATTCAATAAACCTTCAAATTTCTTGAATAGTACCCGCCAGGGTACTAATTACAGGGGAGGGTACTATAATAGGAAGTATTTTACATAGCTTCAATATTATTTAATAAGGACTTCAAATCTAAATATATATATATCTAGCTAGAATAATACCCGGGTCTTATTCAATTTTCTGAACCATGAACCCATGAATAGTATCTGGGTCTTTTTCATGGGGGTATTATGATGGGGTATTATAGTCAGTGGCGTATGGTATTAGCTCACCTGGTTATTTAATAAACACCTATGTGTGATCTGCTATAGTAATTTTTACCTTCATATTAACTTGTTTTGTACTTGGATTCATTAATACTTTGACAAAAGGTTCTTATAGCCTGTCAAAACTACTAATTGCTTTTTTACTAATCTGCACATTGACTGTTTATAATTCAACTTGATACCTCATTTTTCACTATTTCTAGCATTATGGTTTACCTTTTACTTTTTTCACCAATCTGCATATTGACTGTTTATAATTTAACTTGATATCTCATTTTTTACTATTTCTAGCATTATGGTTTACTTTTTACTTTTCTCATTTTTTCTACTTTTCTATTCAAATGGGTTCTTTTTCTTTTTCCTTCCCTGCCTAGTTTTTGAACTGTTATTTTTCTTCTATTTGGGCGCTATATTATTTTCTTTGTATAAGCTTGCATCTAGAGACCTATATTGCTTTGTGTATTCTCTTTATTTAGTTTTTTTAAAGCCAGACTAAAAATCTTTATACTTGGTTATTAGAATCAAAGAATAGTCTTATTTTTTCAAAGTTGACTTTTGTAATAAAGCCTCTAATTCATCTTTCTCTTTTTTACAACTCTTTGGACATACTTCTTTTTTCTAATATTATTAAAATATCTTTTTTCTTTTTGCTTATGTCTTTTCCTTTTTCAAGTACTTTTAGAATTATTTTCACTTTTTGTTTTTTTATATTATTCAGCAAACTAAGCAATACTTTACAACTAACTAGATGCTCTACATAGAGTTAATACCTCAATCCAAATATATTTTTTATATTCAGATTAATCCGGTTTTATCATAGTATAAATCTGAATATAAATTTAAATTTGGATTTATTTATATCTAAATATAAAAACATTATATTATATTAGGAAATTATAAATGGCGACCCATTGCTATGGTGACCCCTATAGCCCCATATGATCGACCAATTACATTAAAGGTTAGTAATCATATAAATTATTTTTTTTAATGTCATGTTGGTGGTTCATTACCACATTTTTTGTATCTTTTTTTTTTTTTTTTGCTTTCACTTTGTTTTTTTTTTTTGCCCTGTTGCTTTTTCACTTGTTAACTAATGCTTCTTTTTTTTTTCTCAGGTATATTTTCACTATAGGTAAACTGTCATCATTGGTGCCAATTGAAATTACCGTTGTTGATACCATTATAATTTCATCACTAGTGTTTGTAATGTAGCTTGCACAAGAAGGTTTATTATGACAAAATCTTGTACAAGTATCACAATTGGAATAGAATGAGTCTCTTGTACTATATAACTTGAATCTTGAGTTACAAGAACTTGTTTATAGAGACTTATATAGCGAAAGATTTGTAGTTTTTGCCTGTGTTTTATATTTTTTTGGCAGTCCTTTTTGGTTTTTTTTTTTTTCACATCACTAATACCTTTTTTTTTTTTTTTAGATATATTTTCAATATAGGTTTTTGAAATTGCTATGAAAGTTGTCGTTGGAGTTGTCATTAAAATTGTCACTAGTGTTTGTAATGTAGTTTGTACAAAAGGTTCATTATAACAAAATCTCGTACAAGTATCACAATTGGAATAGAATGAGTCTCTTGTACTATATAATTTTGAACCTTTAGTTGCAAGAACTTGTTCATAGAGACTTACACAGTGAAAAATTCATAGTTTTCACCTGTGTTTTACTTTTTTTGGTATTCCTTTTTTTTTCCACACCACTAATACCTTTTTTTTTTTTAGATATGTTTTCAATATAGGTCTTTGGAATCACTGTGGGAGTCGTTGTTGGAGTCGTTATTGAAATCGTTATTGAAATCGTTGCTGGTGTTTGTAATGTAGCTTGCACAAGAAGGTTCATTATAACAAAATCTCATACAAGTATCACAATTGGAATAGAATAAGTCTTTTGTACTGTATAATTTTAAATTTTGAGTTACAAGAACTTGTTCATAGAGACTTACACAGTAAAAGATTTGTAGTTTTTGCCTATATTTTACGTTTTTTTGGTGTTTCTTTTCATTTTTTTTTCCATACCACTAATACCTTTTTTTTAGATATGTTTTCAGTATCCCTTAAATTGTAACACAGGCAAATTTGCCTGCGAAGATTTTTACTAATTTTTTTAATATTTAAATTTTTTAA